AAAAAACCAAGACTAAACAAAGTCATGGAGAAAAAAAAAAGAATCATAATGATAGTGTCCAAACTACAAAACCACAAGCTTCCAGTTTCCCTTGTCCAGATAATGTGTCACATTCATCTGCAGCCTAGATCTTCATAAAAACTTACACAATAGTATGAAATGATGCACCAACTATAATAGGAATTTTATTGAACACTTTCAAATTCACTAAATAAATACATTAAGATGTTAAAGAAGAAAGAACCACCTCAATTTTAGTTGACATGACGGAAGATCTAAGTTTAATGCCAACGTAATTATCTAATACTCATAGCCACAAAAATGTCAAACTAGCATCTACGGGGAGCAAGCTTCAAAGTAATATCAAAGAGATTATTATGTGATTGTGAGAGAGAATGGAAGACACATAGTGCTCATTGAAAAGGATCAAGACATAAGGGAAATTATAAGAGGGAAGGATAACCAATGGTGAAGTTAACTTAAGTTAAAGTTCATTAAGTTTATTGCAACATTTGCTTTCATACAATTTTAGTAATAGATAGACTTTGGACTATAACATTCTTTGGGTTTAAGGCATATAAAGTTAACAAGTGCGACACAAAGAAGTAGGTTCTCAACTTTCATTTATTTTTCCATCTTAATTTTTATTAATTTTCCTCTTACTCCCTTCCTTTCATTTTAGGTTATACTTTTTTGTTTCCAATTATTTGTCATTTTTGAATAATATTCCAATTATTATATATTTCTAAAATTCCCTAAAAGAATCTCACAATTGAATTTACCATAAAACCTTGATCCTAATTAGTATTGCTAAGCAATCCATAAATATATGATTTTGGAAAGATTTAATAAATAGTACATTTGGGAAACACATGAATTTTTTATTCTTTTGTTTTTATTGTACAAACATTCTATCTTTTTCTCGTGTGTGTATACTCATATCATAAAAACTAATTGCAACAAAAATCAAGATATCTACAAAATACAACATAAAATATGAATGTAAGGAAACAAACTCATTACAAGCTTAAAATGAATTTAAGATTATTATATTACGTATCTAACTGCTATATAATTCCCCCAGGGATTTAGTACTTGTAGAAAGTAGAGCATAAGGCCATGATGGTTATCAATTAAACTAAATATTGGAAGATAAAATTAAGTTGACAAAGTGCTTTCTACTCACAGATGCACCGAGTTAACGGTCTTTGCCCCTCTTTGCACAGTTATGTCATAGGTACGATCACACAGATCTTGGAGAAACAATTCCAACGCTTTAGCTGCATTAACATGTCAGAAGAGAAAATAATTAAGCTTCTATTGCAAAATCAAATTCAATAGCGTGACAACTAAAAAATTTACATACACACTAAAACTGGCACTGCCATGGCAATCTTCCCAACATCTTCATCAGCTTGCATGATCTTTTTTATGCGAGCCTGAGAAAAACACATACGTTTAGGCTTTATATAAACAATTCTATATGAATTAATATAGAAACACTATCAACGAAAGGCCATTACAGTTCCTATTACAGATCACGCGCACATATTAGGGAAAATTGTATAACGAATATTGATGATTAATTCATTCTCCTGTGAAAGAAACTGCGAAGATGTACTTGGTGCTTAGAGAAAAAAATATTACTAATAATAATATCTAGTCGAGGCAAACACAAATTTGGGCTTAAAAGATATCTCTAGACGAGCAAGAATAGAAATCTTAAGGTAGAAAACCTCAAAATCCATGGAGTGATGTAGTATCGGTATGACCCTGTACAACCTATACGGCGGAAGTCCTTGCACTATGATATTTAAACATCAATTATTGTGTTTAATCTTGGATCTAAGTGAGAATAACACAAAGCAAATAATATTTCCAAATCCAAATAAAAAAAATAAGAAAATCCAACTTTCACAACTTTGTAATTCTTTTTTTTAGCAAATCCAATTTTCCTTCCCCACTAATATAGGACCTTATGTCATGTTTGATTTTCTTCCATATATTATATCTCCGAAAATAAAAAGTTACTGTTCTTGTATAGTACTAGAATGGTACTTGTTATTCGAATATAAGTAGATCTGCAGTTATAAAAATTACCCAGAAATCAATAGTAACATCAAAAAAATCACATTTATTGTTTTTACAAAAACATGCCTGCACCTTTTCATTTTCACATATTTTCAGTTCAAGCCCAAAAGGTTCCTTATCGGTGAAACTGAAACTAAACAACATAATCCCTCCATCCCCAAAAGGTAGGGTTACTGTTACTTCATACAGTTTTAAAAAAAGTTAACCCTATTCACAATTGTATTTGTACTCGCTTCTGCGGTGCTTTTTTACTATAATGCAACTGAGGAGGTATACAAAAGAAAAAGGAAAAATAATTTACATACTGATTATGACAATAGGACTATCATTTCGGGACACCATAAATGAAAATGTGACCCATCTTCTCAGGACGGAGAGAGCAATAGACTTGAAGGGAAATGTAAGGACTGGCACTATATGCAAAACATCAAACTCAATTTATCCATGAAATGGGAAAATTCTCAGGCTGTATTTCAACTTGTGATGAAAACAACGTTTAAATTGCCACGCCATGGCATCATCGTTGAGCCTAGGCAGAGGACATTGGAAATTGCCTTGCCACAGCCTAAGGCGTCATGGGTTTAAGAGGGGGGGCCTTTTTTGCATCTCTTGAACGCCCAAAACCATAAAAGCTTTACTTAACACAATTTCAAAATATTGCGAGGTTACTCTGACCACTTATAGAATGTACACAAAAACTAAAAGGCTTAGATTTAAGGAAAAACAAAGAATATTCAAGGAACATGGTCGCCCATTGCAAATCGTATAATGACCGCCACCGGCCCAACCAGATCCTATCTGGCCTCCCCAGCTTGTTTTAGAATTGAATATCAATGGACTTAGTCTGTGTTTATTCTCCTTGGCGGTTTATCACTTATCTAGGTTGTTGATTCATGTTTCAATGTCGTCTTTTGTTGGTGCTACATGGTAATGACTAGTGGAGTTGTGTGATTGAATATTTATAGAAAATTCTTCAATAAATTTTAATTTCTATATATGTACTTTATCATTCATTTCTTTTGCTTTTCCTAATTATTTTGGCATGTCCAAGAGGAAACGCCATGGCCTCACCTTGCGCCTCAAGGCCAGGCCACGAGCAAAATGCCATGCTCGCCAGCCACCTTCAACTAACAACTATGGTTTCGAATTTTACATCCCAATTCACCCAGCAGGATATATTGCACAACTAAACAAACATGATGATGCTTATTATTCAGACTTAAACCGATTGACTGCTCTCACCCTTTACATGGAGAAGTTCAAGAGAGGCCTCGAATAAACAACATGACCGAAGCATACGGCAAACCCACATTCAATATATATAGCAGTTAACATAAACCTTCAAACAAAAAGAAAATTGACCAAAACTTGCACAATTAAATGAGTCTCAAAAACCCTTGAAAAGAGAAGAACAAGAGAGAGAGAAGCTTACAGCGGGAAAGCGAGTATCAAGCTTCTTCTTCATGGCGGAATCACAGAATTCGGCAGCCAACGCGAGAAATCAACTCGACATACACAGCCAACACCTACTCTGATAGGTCACGGAGACCCATTTTTTGAACAGAAAGGGGTCGAAGAGAAAGAAAGATAACGAAGAGAGAGAGAGAGAGAGAGAGAGAGAGAGAGAGAGAGAGAGAGATGGAGAAGTAAACAAATCCGAGAAGAAATGATTGATCTGATGATGATTAAAAGGGTAGAGGAGTGCAGACCAGATTCTTCAACTCAGATCCAAGACATGGATACTGCAGCAGAATTACGAAATTCTTTTCGAGGAGCTCGTACTTCGTGATAACAACAAATACCATAAAATTGGGGGTACAAAAACAACCGACCCGATTACTTCTTTGTCATATCTCTGCATAGGATAAATAATTTTTTGACGTGTTTTTTTGGATTTTCAACCTAAAGTATTTTTTGTAGTGAAATGCAACATGAACTACATATACAGTCAATATTTGCACGTTTGACCACATCTTGACCATACACGTGTCCAATGGCGGAACTAGGCAGGGGCCCGTAGGGGCACGGGCCCCTGTGCAATTTTTAAAAAAAATTAGGACATATAATTATATTGTAAATTAATTATAGATATATTTTCTTAAAATTTAAGTTGTTTATATTTTGTATTTGTTTATATTGTAGGCAACATATATAAATGGGTTACATCGATTTTCCACAAAATTCAACATTGATTTTGATGCACATTGAATTTTAGGTGTTCTTAAAATTATAATTATAAGTTTACAATTAGCTACTAAATTGTGTTTGTCATTGATTTTTTAACCAATAAAATTTTTATATTTATTATAAAGAAGTCCACAATGCTAACGCCTAAGAATATCCAATGCAAAATAAAATAAAAATATTGGTATTTGGAAAGTTATTTTTATAAAAAAATTGAATTTATGTAATTATGAGTAATATAATATATAAGAACATGAAGAGAATAAATTTCATTTCTTTTCAACTTTGTAAAGATTACGTTTGTGCCCCCTCGATCTTCCGAGGCTGCCTCCGCCCCTGCACGTGTCTTTTTTTGCAGATGATCGGACGGTCAAAAAGTAGTCGAGCATGCAAATAGTGACTGTATGTAATTCATGTTGCATTTTACGACAAAAAATACTTTAGGTTGAAAATCTCAAAAGCACGTATAGTACAAGTTGGAAAAAAATTATTTACCCTCTCCATATCTCTAATAAGATTATAAGTTGTTATTTTAGAATTAATGTTAAAGTTGCTGTTTTATAAACAGCAACTATAGGTAGTTGTAATTTTACTTTTCTATCCTCATGTAACCCTAGGTATAAATATATTGTACCTCCACATTCTCAGACACTTTTTGCTTTCATCTCTTTCTATACGATATTGAAGCTTTTCTTTTCTCTCGTGTTCTTGCCTCAGATTCATATCAATTCCATAATTTTGATTCTAATATGGTATCATTCGCCATCGATCTTGTGTTTTTCGCTTCCGCA